GTGTGGTAGACAACTTCCCCCATAGTCTCTCCCTACTTTGGTTACATTTGATATTTTGATAGGAGTCCCACCACCACTCAAACCTACTGAAAAGGTAATGCTAGATGATTTGTTTCTGTATTGCTTGTTATGGATAGAATATAATGTCCAGGACATTCTGCGATGCTCTCTTCTGGGAGCTTTAGTTTATTGTCTCTGGGTCTTGGTCGTTGATGAGATTACATGGCGGCGGGGGCAGTTTGTAGATTTGACTGTCAAGCTACTGCAAAACTGGGGACCTAGGGGGAGAAGGCCCAGTCCTGATTCAAGTGGGCTTGAAGATCTCATGGGTATCTGCATACTTGGGTTTGCCTGCCGGTCCGCTCTGTGGTGAGGTTCATACAGTCTTGGGTAAGGCTCATTCCCTCTTGGGTGAGGCTAATCTAAGCGTGTGGAGAGTGGCCTTGGTTATGGCGGTGATTGGGTTCTGGAGTTTTTCAGCTGCCAGGGTTCTGCTTGGGGTGGAAGGAAACTCAACCGGCCCACTCCAAGGTGTCCCAGTGAAGACAGCCTGACACAGGATCAAGACATTCTGCAGTAATCTCTTCCAGGGAAGCTTGGCCTATTAGATATCAAAGGAAGTCAGGTATAGTGGCTGCTTTTACTCTCTGGGGAGAGGGGAATCTGCCCACTCCCATTCTGAAAAAGCCTCAGAATTTTTAGCCTGGAGATCTACCTGGAATAATTCAGCATCTTGACTTCTTTTTCCTGGACAATGTGATTAATCATCAAGGAGATGCAGATCAAAACCACAATGAGATACCATCTCACACCTCAGAGACTGGCCCACATTCAAAAGAACAAAAGCAACCGATGCTGGCGTGGATGTGGCGAGAAAGGGACACTCCTTCACTGTTGGTGGGAATGTCCACTGGTTCAGCCCTTCTGGAAAACAGTATGGATTATTCTCAAAAAATTAGAAATTGAGATCCCATTTGACCCAGCAATACCACTCCTGGGAATATATCCCATAGAGGCAAAAATGTATAGTCGAAGTGACATCTGCACTTGTTTGTTCATTGCAGCACTCTTTACAATAGCCAGAAACTGAAAGAAACCTGAATGCCCAAGAAAAGATGACTGCTTAAAGAAACTTTGGTACATCTACACAATGGAGTACTATGTAGCTGTTAGAAAAGATGAAGTCATGAAATTTACATACAAGTGGTATAACATGGAAAGTATCATGCTAAGCGAAATGAGTCAGAAAGAGAGGGATAGACATAGAAAGATTGCATTCATCTGGGGAATATAAAGTAACAAAATATGAGATTAATACCCAAGAATAGCTGAGATCAGCACCAGGAGGATTACTCCATAGCTTAGTGGCCAGCCGGGCATTCTAGAGGAAAGGGCAGCTCAGATAGAGAAGGGAGAACCAAATAAAGGGTATTTGGAGGATCCTCCCAGGAGGGGAGATGCATGTCGAAAGTAGACTATGGACTGAACATGTTTGCCACTCAATGCCTCTTTTGCAGACCACAACACCCAAAAGGAGAGAGAGAACACAGGGGATTGCCCTGCCACAGAGGCAGGGGAGGATGGGGTGTGGGGGTGGGGGGGATATTATCCATGGTGGTGGAAAATGGGCACTGGTGGAGGGATGGGTATCTGATCATTGTATAATCGAAACCCAAGCACAAAAAATTGTAAATCTACAACTGTACATCATGGTGTTTCACTAATAAAAAAAATAAATAATATAAAAAAAGAAATACTTATTTGTAAATAGTCATTTTTTCAGGTCTATTTTATTTATAAATCAGGTTTACTAAAATATTGTAATTGAAATATCAAAATGTAGGTTTCTTAAAACTAGCATGTATAATAAAACCATCATGGTGTGAGAAAATTAAGTACCTAAAATCTATGAGCACTTTGTAAATAGTTGGGAAGGAGATAAATTTTCAGGCAATTAAATATTTTATTTACTTTGTAATATTATTTGAATAGATGGAAATTTATATTTAGGAAGCATTGAAATTATCCTCAAAAAGCAATATTTAAATGTGAGCCTATAAATTTTGCATTTTTAAAACAAGATTACTCTTTGTTTCTCTAATATATCTAAATTTATATCTTAATACCACAACAGCAGGTAGGGTGTTTGCCTTGCCTGCGGCCCATCCGAGTTCAATTCCTCTGCCCCTCTTGGAGAGCCCAGCAAGCTACCAAGAGTATCTAGTCTGCATTGCATGGCAAAGCCTGGCAAGCTACCCGTGATGTATTTGATATGCCAAAAACAGTAACAAGTCTCACAATTTGTTGTGAGACGTTACTGGTGCCCACTCAAGCAAATCGATGAACAACAGGAGGACAGTGCTATGGTGCTACAGTTGAATAGTAGACATTATGAGTTATTTTAGACTAATCTATATGGATAGCACTGATGGTTCTGGATTGACTCGAATCTGAAAAATATTCATAGATATATATGTTGTCATTATGATGAAGCATAAAAATTAGAAGTAACTCAGATACCTGAAAGAAGGAAAGTTTAAAAAATGAGGGGCAAAGTGATAGTACAGCAGATCGGGTGTCCCAAGCCCAAGTCCAGCCAGGATTGATCTAAGCACCACTGAGTGTGGCCCAAAAACAAAAAGACAAAGCAAAAAAGAAACTAAGAAAAGAACATCACAAACTAATAATATGCCTGATGACCAATGAGGCAAAAACCATAAACAAAATATAATCTAATTAAATTTAATATTGCATTGAAAGGATCATACACCATATCAGGATTTATTTTGGTTTCAATATTTACAAATAATAAAGTGCAAAATCATAGCCATCTAGATAAAGAAAAAGCATTTGAAAAAAGTAACATGAATTCATTTAGAAAGAAAAAACTTGATAGAAAAGGATATCTATACCTAAGCATCCTAAAGACTATATATGAGAATTCATATCTAACAGCATAATCAAATACTCAGATGAAATACTGCCAGCATTTAGTCTAAAAAAATTTGAGTTTGAAATTTTCTGTTTGCAGATGAAATAATGTTATATATATATATATATATATATATATATATATATAAAAGCTTGACGGGCTCTACAAATTAAGTAATGCTGTGAAATAAAAAATCAAAATACAAAAACAGTTTACAAAATAAAGCTATACTTTTGTATACAGCCAACTACTATTAATAGAAATGAAGTAAACAATTTTATGTAGAATTTCACAATGCAATAGTTAGAATAAACATAGTGAAGTATAAGGTCAGTACACTAAAAGCTATAACTCATTGATAAACATACAAGGACACATGAGTTTTAAAATAATTCCACATTTTAATATTCATGGATTAGGAGATATCATTAAAATGTCCATAACACAAAGCTATTTACAGATTGAGTACAAACACTATTGAAATTACCATGGCATTTTTTCGTAGAATGTTTTTTTAAAACCTAAAAATTGGTATAAAACCAAAATATACTAAAAATAACCAAAGCAGTCTGAAAAAAACAGGACTCAATACTTCAGACTCTGTGCTTTCAAATTCTATTACAAAGCTTTAAAAACAAAGCAGCATGCTGTTGACATAAAAACAGTTTAGTGGAAAAGTATAGTCTTGAACTAAAACTATATACATTATCATTTACAACAGAGGTGCCAGTGAGATGTGTTAGAGTATCATGCAGCCTTAAAAAAAAACGAACAGAAGCAGTAATCCTGACCTTCGCAGCAACATGGGTGAACTTAGCATTATAGTAAGTGAAATAAGTAAGAGAAGATAAATATTACATAATATCACTTAAATGTGGAATTGAAAAATATGCCAATATCATGTTAAGTTTAGTGAGTTATAAATTAAGTACAAGCGCTAGATAATCTCACTCATGTGGAGTATTTAAAAAATGTTAGTGAATGGATAACCTATACCTCCACTTGAAATAAATCCTGTGATACTTTTAGCAAAAGAGTAAAGTGAGGATGCAAATAGAATGGAATAGGGAGGGGGGGCACCGTGGGATGGAGGGAGAGGGGGCGCCATGGGATGGAGGGAGAGGGGAGCATCATGATACAGGGAGAGGGGGCACCATGATGAAAGCTCATTAGCACTGGTAGTGGGCATGGTGAAGCTGTATTGTTTATATGAAACAATACAAAAACTTGTGAACCACAATACCTCAATCAAAGATAAATTAATAGGAATAGAAATGTTTTGAAATATTAATATTGATAAATTATAGTTAATGTTATGATTAATCTTATAATTAATGTAATATTAATATTAATTAATATTAACATTTTGACATTTAAAGCAAAATATATATGACTAAGAGTGTTATTTTCATAGATCCCACACTTACCAAATACCATCTCATGCTTAAAAGGAGACAAACAGGAAGGCACTGAAGTGACTGAAAAGACCTGAAATTTTATTAATAACTACTTCATTATTGCTTCCTCTAATTATAAATCTGAAAAAATTAAAGCACCATAATTTACAAAATTATTCATAATTGAGTTTTTGGCACCCGTATTGCAGCATCAATCCTGTCATCAGTGGCAACTTCCCTCTACCAGTGTTTCCTTATCTTTCTCCAAATCACCTTTTTTCTGTTTTTAATTTGGGGGGACACACCTATGAGTTCTCAGAGGATACTCCTAGCTCTGCACTCAGAAATTACTCCTGGCAGTGCTTGGGGAACCATATGGGGTGCTGGGAATTGAACCCAAGTTGGCCATGTGCCAGGCAAACACTCTCCCCTCTGTACTATCGCTCTAGCCTATACGTCACTTTTATTCTTGGTGATATAGAATACTGATGGAAGTTCTCAGGATTGTCATAGACATTAATATCTGGCATATAGGAGACATTTAGTAAGTGATAGTTTTCATTTTTATGGTTGTTATTACAAATAGGCCTTTGGAAAACTTGGAAGTTGATTACACTAAATAACTTTGCTCATGCAGTAGTTGCTCAGTTTTTGTGTTTTCTGCCTTTTAGAGATGATGAAGAGAAAAAAAAATCTCCAACAGAGGGTACTGATGAGAAGGCTAATGGAACACATCCAAAGACCATCACTCGTATTGGGAGTACAACCAACCCCTTCTTGGACATTCCTCATGACCCCAATGCTGCTGTGTACAAGAGTGGGTTCTTGGCTAGGAAAATCCACGCGGACATGGATGGAAAGAAGAGTAAGCATCATTTGATTTTTTTATAAAAAAACCTAATTCACTGTTTAATACTCAAAAGTATAAGAAGAATTTAACTGAAGTAAATGTTGTCTATCTAGAGAAGTATTTCTGAGGCTTTATAAATTCTACCCTATACAACTTCAGAAATAGAAACTTTTTTTTTCTCTTTGGGTCACACCCGGGGATGCATAGGGGTTACCCCTGGATCATGCACTTAGGAATTACTCCTGGTGGTGCTCAGGGGCTGTGTGATGCTTGGAATTTAACTTGGGTCAGCCGTGTGCAAAGCAAATGCCCTACTCACTGTACTATCACTCCAGCCCCTAGAAACTTCTTTGAAATTATTTTTTTCCATCTTCTTTTCTTCAACAAAGAACTAAGTGTCTGATGTGGTAGCCATAAAAATGATGTCAGTGAATATATGAGAGATCCATTCCTTCAAGGACTTAGACTTTTATGGTGGTAGAACATTGAATCTGCAGGAAATAGAAAATTCAATAAATAGAGTACTATTCCAGAGACAAAGTGGGTAAGTAAAGAGAATTGAGGTTGAAAAAATATATAGAAGAGTTGTACTCTATGAGAAGAGGAAATTTACCTCAACAAGGAATAAGATACAGTTGACGTAGCAAAGGAATTATTGGTAGATAAAGCAACTGATATTTCTCTCTCTGTTCCCAGTGCATACATACACCCTGTCTCAAAGGAATTGACTTCAAACATAAAGCAGTTTTCCACTCTTACTTACAGATATTTATTTCTTGCCCTAATGCCATTTCTAACTAATTTCTTTCTTCAAAGCTAAGATTTACTACTGGTATCTATTCTTTTCATAAATCAGGTAGCTTTCTTCTGTTTGCTAAATCAAAAATAAATATCTGAAATACTTTATATAAAACATTAGTAGGGAATGTGAGGCAAGACTTTGTGAGGCAAGATGGCGCCTATCCCGGTTGAACCTCTCAAGCTCTCCCAAACCCAGCTCACCATCTCACTCTGGATGACACGCAACTCAGCATGCTGAGCATGGAATTCCACATGTGATCTGTGCTGGAACTCTGCGCATGATTCCTGCTGGACATCACCAGCTGCTTTGCAGGAAAAAGACAGAATGGAGTCATCTGGGCGAGAAAAAACCACAGTGGTGGCGGCAGCATCACCGCCTACCCCAGCTGGGCCCAGTCACAACACCATCGAGCATGAAACAGTGACAGTGACCCACGCAATAACTTGTCCACTGCAGGACTCTATCCACCAACCACCTAGTGACTTGGGACTCAGGACAGATGTTCAACCTGGCACAGACCCTATGTGATGTGGCCTTGCACTGCCAGCTTTTCAACAACCTCCAGGTGCACTCCCTCCATCTCAGGGAGATCAACCTGAGGCCGCAAACACCCCAGGTGCTGCCTGGAGATGCAGGGAGGTGCATGCTGTCAGTGTACAAATTGTTACAGCAGGTTGGTCCAAGAGCTTATATTCTGTAGACTGGGAATACCTGCAGGAATGATTAGAGACTTCCCCAGAAGCCTCCATCTTCTCCCCGGAGAGCCTGGCAAGCTATCTACGGTATCCAGTCTGCAAAGCAGAGCCTGGCAAGCCACCCGTGATGTACCAAATATGCCAGTAACAGTAGCTAAAATGGGTCTCATTTCCCTAAACTTGAAGGAGTCTCCAGCTGAATTAGGAAGAATAAGAGGGCTTGTCCTAAGTAAATGGCCCGCACATCAACTGGCGGGAAGACGCCTCTCAAGCAGCAGGTCACCAAGGTGGCCCATAAAGGTGCACCAGTCACAGGTAGCATGAAGAAGCCACACCGCTATTGGCCTGACACCATGGCACTACGCAAGATCGCCATATACCATTCCAGCAGCTGGTTCAAGAGATCATGCAGGACTTCAAGACCAACCTGTGCTCCAGAGCTCGGCTATCATGGTGCAACAGGAGGTGGGCAAGACCTACCTGGTGGAGCTCTTAGAGGATACCAACTTATGTGCATTCCCCGCCAAGTGCGTCACCGTTATGCCCAAGGACATCCAGCTAGCATGCTGCATCCGCCGAAAGAGAATATAAAATTTATGATGCTAAATTCTCAGGGCTGGGACAAATGGAAACACTACTGGTGACTGCTTGAGTAATTGATGATTAAAGGGATGACAGTGATAGTGACAGGGGAAAAAAACTAATACAAAATGCTGCTTTACACTATTTACAATAACCAGAATCTGGAAAAAACCTGAGTGCCTAAGAACAGATGACTGGTTAAAGAAACTTTGCTACATCTACACAATGGAGTACTATGTAGCTGTTAGAAAAGAAGAAGTCATGAAATTTATATACAAGTGGTTCTACATAGAAAGTATCATGCTAAGCGAAATGAGTCAGAAAGAAGGGGACAGATATAGAAAGATTGCATTCATCTGGGGAACATAAAAGTAACAAAATAGGAGACTAATACCCAAGAATAGTTGAGAAAAGTACCTGGAGGTATACTCCATGGCTTGAAGGCCAGCTGCACATGCTAGAGGGAAAGGCAGCTTTGATAGAGAAGGGAGCACCAAATAAAGGGTGTTGGGAGCATCCTCCCACTATGGGAGATGCATGTGGAAAGTAGACTATAGACTGAACATGACTGCCACTCAATGCCTCTTTTGCAAACCACAGCAACCAAAAGGAGAGAGAGAACAAAAGGGAATGCCCTGCCACAGAGACAGGGTGGGATGAGGGGAATAGGGGTGTGGGAGGGATACTGGAATCAGTGGTGGTGGAGAATGGGCACTGGTGGAGGGATGGGTGTTTGATCATTGTATAACTGAAACCCAAGCACAAAAATTTGTAAGTCTACAACTGTACCTCATGGTGTTTCACTAATAAAAATTTTTAAAAATAAAATAAAATGCTGCTTTATAAAAGTACAGAATGTGTAGTGCACAAAGTTACACATGCTAAATGAGGCAAGGTCAAGTTGGTTGAGAAAGGTCCAGTACCAGAGAACTGTGCTGTGACATGAGACAATCAGAAAAGAAACAAGATTTAGTTCTTCTGTAAGGAGCCTTGCAGAGAAAGAAAGAATTTTATGAAACCTCCCAGAGAACTTCTGCACAATAGGAACAATGAAGTGTATTACTAATGCTGTGTTCACTGGGCTGGAGAAGGGGAAGCTGAGACTAGTAAAGGCTATAAGCCCACACACAGGGGTTGATGGCAGAAGCTCAATACCTGATTGAGACATTTGGGGACACACCTCAGACCAAGACTACTAGTACTAGGTGGTACCAGATGATTGCAAAAGATAGTACCCCCCAACACACACACACACACACACACACACACACACACGTTAATAAATTGACCAGTTTGTCTTTTTCCTTTATTATAGTGGATTCAGAATTGTCTTTATTCTTGTTGCTTATTCATTTCTTTTGCTAAATGGAGAATACTCTCGAACTCTGTTCTAGTATTGCCATGATTTTCTTCCCTGATGTATGAGCTCTTAAAATTGAGCACTTCATTTTTTGTTAGCTCTTTGTCTTGGAAGTTATCTACACTTAATTTGTTTATCTTCAAAGTTCAGTTCTGCTTATTATACCATATCTGAAAACATTCCTACATTATTATCAATTTTCTAGTTGTTGTAACAGGAGTCATTTCTGTAGAAGTTAACTCTTTTTTGGCATAGCGAAATTAAGCTCATTGCTGATTCCTCTTATTAAAAGCAATTTCTATTTTTGTATGACCTCGATCTAATATCTTTTAAAAAAAAAACTTTTATTAGTGAAACACCATGAGGTACAGTTGTAGACTTACAAATTTTTGTGCTTGGGTTTCAGTTATACAATGATCGAATACCCATCCCTCCACCAGTGCCCATTCTCCACCACCACTGATCCCAGTATCTCTCCCACCCCGCATCCCCGCCCCCATCCCACCCTACCTTTGGGGCAGGGCATTCCCTTTTGTTAGCTCTCTCCTTTTGATTGCTGTGGTTTGCAAAAGAGACATTGAGTGGCAATCATGTTCAGTCTATAGTCTACTCTCATCACGCATCTCCCATCCTGGGAGAAACCTAAAAATATGGACCACTTCACGAATTTGCATGTCATCCTTGCACAAGGGCCATGCTAATCTTCTCTGTATTGTACCAATTTTAGTATATGTGCTGCCAAAGCAAGCACTCTATCTAATATCTTAATAAGCTATAAAATGATGAGTACTTCATATCCAGAAAGTAATTTGTTTCCTTTTCAGCTTTTTGCCACATTCCTCACTACTTTTTGTTAGGTTTTCTGATTTGAAACATATTTTCTCTGTATTGGACACTGCTGCTTTTTGAAAATATCAGAATGTCTTAATTGCTTCTAAGTGCATCTGCCTTTCTTTTTTGGGGGTAGACACTGTAAGCAAATATGATATGTATTTTATTATGTTTAGCCTAATGTCTTTTGAAACATATCATTATTAAGAAAAATTAAAAAGATGAAATTGTCTGAAATAGCAACTCTAGATAACTTTAGAAATACATATATTGATACCTTCTTTTATATATATATATTATTTTGAGTTATCATGTTTTATTTTGGTCAGAGCATTATTGCATTTATACATGTATGTGAACATGAATAAATCTTCTGATGATAGATATTACTAAAAGCCTTAAGTGAATATTTGGGTCACAACTCTGTGAAGAGTTTAAATCCTGGATAAGTTGTCTTTAATGGAACACTTATCCTACCCAAGATTTAAAATATTTATTTTAAAAGTGTGCATATTATTAAATATTTTAATATAGGACTCTTGAATTTTATCTTTAGTTGCTCAGAATTTAAGGGCTGAAGATTTTTTATTTTTGTTATGTGTTTATGTGATTGGCCTTTTAAAGATAAACTCAACTCTAAAGAACAATTCATGATCAAAACCAAGTATATGTGCTTACTGTAGCACTTGTAGCACTGTCCTCCTGTTGCTCATTGGTTTCCTCGAGCAGGCCCAGTGACGTCTCC